TTTTCATTGCTTAAACAGTTTGCAAATGACATGTTTCATCTTGTGTTTAATCATTATACTCAGAGCTTTTGTTGTTATTGGAAGTATTTAAATTTGTTGTTACAAAGTGCATTGTTATTTTAGACCAGCTTAGAAATAGTTTAATGTATTTGATAGACATGAACAAAGTAATAAATACTACAAAAACCTGAAAATTCCTATAAAGTTGGTATAAAAACTTCATAAAATATGTATTTTTAAATGAATGACAGATTTCTTACCCATTTTCCAGTAAATTTTGAAACAGACTTTCATTTTGTGAAATCAGCCAGATACATGACTAATGAGAGTTAATCTGAGTGCTGCAAAAGCTGAACAATGAAAGCATTTGAAAACCAAAGATCTGAGTTCTTACATTTTTAATTATTTAGTGAGTAGCATGTGAACACAAATCATGGGAAATTTTTGATTGTTCAGAAATAAGGCAACTAGTTTTTAGTGCCAAAGAACAAAAAGAGAGCGAGTGGAAACAAGATCCTTTGAGTACCCATGTTTGAACTGGGGTCTGGCAGTTTGCTGCATGTATGGACAGGATTTGTGCAGTCTGTGGCAGATTGAATTTAACTGAGGTCCTTCTGTACCACTGTTTCTCCTTCTGTGACTCCAGTTGGCACAAAGGAGAGTAAGGAAAATTCATTTGTGTACTTTTATAGTTAGGTTGGGGCACTTTGGAAGTGAGGAGGACTTAACAGGCAGACTCAGTTGCAGAAGGTGAGAAAGTTAAACTAGGATTTGAAACTCAAATTGCAAGAGGTATGGATGGGTAGGATTTGAGGAAGGATGCCAAACTCCAAGGGTGGTGAAGGAGTAGAGAGAAATCCAGAATGCAGAGAGTAGGTCTATAAGGTAGGAATGGAGGCTGAAGAGGCTATGAACATAGAAAAGAAGAAAAACAGATGTCCTGGGAATAAAGAATGAAAATAGAATTGGAATTCAAAAGACTGGGCTAGTGCTAGGACAGAGAAGGAGAAGGTCAGGAGCATGAGGGGGCATGTAGGGGCTGGAAGTGGGAGGTTTCCAAGAGGACAGGTTAGGGAGGAAATGTCTTTAGGTTTCTTTGCAAATTTGGCACTGAACCAAAGCACAGACATTTGTACAAATATAAGAGTATATTCTAATTGCCTTAAAGATCTTAGATCTGGAACTGACCCAACTGTGTACTCAGGGTGATTTCACAACTTACAGGGTTTTTTTCCATTTTTAAACTTGAAAACAATTCTAAAATATATCCCACAAAGCTTTAGGTTGGTATAATCTGGTTTACAAAATTATAAAATTGTAAAATTAGATTTTCATGTTGTATCATTTTGGTAGGACTTTCTTTGTAACATGCATTATTTTTATTTACTTGTTTGGCATTCTTTCATATCAACAAGTTTAGTACTAGGATTTGTCATTTCTTAAAAGTGTAATTTTCCAAATTTATTGTCTTCTAATGTACAATTGTTCAAGTACCTTTTTAAGGAGTACCGCTGTACATCTCAGGTTCTGTAGGTGGGCAGTTTATAGTCCCTCCATTCAAAAAGACTTGGTTGCCATATTTTCTTCAGTATCCAGACTACATGATTTTACCATTAAATTTTTCTGTTTGCTCTCTGGTATGTATATTTTGGCACATTATTATATCATTATTCACTACTTGAAAAACAAGCTTCTCTGATTAAAAAATCTTTCAAACCCTACAAAAGAGAGTTCAAGTCCCTCTCTGAGTATTCCCTCTTCTCCTTTACTCTAGTAATAATTTTTTTGATAACCATTATATCACTGCATTAGCAAACTTGAAGCATCATTGACTGGTCAACCTAATGGCAGAGAGACATAAAGGAATGGAGACGTCATTCTAGATAATTCTTACGTGTGAGATTTTCTTCATTGCCTCAATCTCTTATTTCTCTTTGATTCCCAGCCCTCATTCTTCTGTGAGACTAAAAACTCTACTCTTTCATTATATCAAGTTTGCTAAAATTTCTTGACGGAGAAAAATCCTGCAGACCCGCATTCCACTGTTTGTTTTTTTTCCATAATAGTAGTATTAAAGCGTAGGGTGGTTTTTGGGTTTTTTTTTTTGTTTTCCCTCAGAGACCATCTAGGCAGATAAAGGAATGTATTTCAGCACATTGTGTTGCATGACTCTGTACACACATGCACACACACTTGAGCTGAAATAGTAGCCAAGAAAGCAGAGATATTATCTGGTTGAGGAAAAGCAAATATGACAAAGAAACTCTGGATGGTGCTGTGGTGAAGGAGTTACTAGTGAGATCAACAGTGTAGTAAGGTTAAAGGAAAACTGACCCATCATAACCTTGCCAGTGCAAAACAGATCATGCTCATGTAAGCTACTTCAAATTTCCAAAACAAAGGATAAAACTTCTTTCTGAAGTTACTGCTCATAATTGGGTAGAGAAGCATGCTCTGAAAGCACCCAGTTGATTGAATCATCAGAGAACCACAGACTTCTCCACCAAGTATAGAAAGTAGGTACAGAGAAGTATGGATTGCCTCAGTTCATGCATATTTCCAGTGTGTCAGCTCAGTACAGTACAGGTCATTGAAGCTCAGAGTGGTTGAAAGTCTGAGGCTGTGTACAGGAAGGCATTGCTGTTTGTTTTGTGTTGAGGTGGAAGGTGAGAATTTGTTGCTGGAAGTCAATAAATATAACTAATAATTAAATTAATTTAAATTTGTGTGTTTCATTGCTTTGTTGGCTGAATTACATGTATCTTCATTAAGACTTAACTATTTTGGACCAAAGCATTCTTCTCAGGATTATAAATAATGTGTATAATGGGACAGATTTAGTGTCATGTCTGCAGCCACTTGCGTGCAAAGTGTGGAGAATTCTAGAGTGCTGAAATTTTTTTGTGTGGTAAAATGGAAACAGGAACATATAGTCAGAAGACAGTGATGAAAGTATCAGCACTTGAAATGACTGAAGTGGTCGATAGGTAACTGGTGTTTAGCAGCTAGAGTGCCATAACTGTTTAAGAACAAATGTCATGCTATTAAAAAAAAATGTTTTTAAAAGAAAAATTTTAGATGAGCTCAGTATGCAGAATTTCCAAGCTCTGCTCATGCAGTGAGGAAACAATCTTATTCATGCATTGGACTATTTATACATAGATTGCTGTCTGCAGAGTGATTATCAGGGACATCACAATGACACCTGTTTGTTCTGTTCAAATTAATTCCAGTGAAAATTGTTCCCCCTTTGTGCCTTAGAAACATTCCTACATCTGAAATCCTCAGGGAAAATATTTGAAGTAATCCTCTTGGTTTTGTTAAACACTCTCCATCCCACCTAAAGATTAGGTGCTAAATAGGGTGGAATGGTGTTGCAACTGTTATTTGACAGATGACAGCTAACACAACAGCCATGCTGGGTTAGAGTAAAGGTTTATCTGGAAATCCTGCAATTTGTTGTGAAGTGGCTTCAGTGTGATAAGTACCATCTTGCATTTAATGGCTCTCCAGGGACTTCTGTGCTGCAAGTTGTTCAGTATTCTCTCAAATAAGTGTTATTTTTTAGCATCCACAACATCTTATAGTAAGGAATTCCACAGCTTTCATGCATGAAGAGCAATTTATATTTGTTCTCATTCTACATCATTAAATGACTTCTCATTCATCTATTTGAAAATACAGTTGATTCCTATCTCCATTCTCCCTTCTCATGATGTGACAGGCCCCTTATTTCTTCCTTTTCCAAGCTGTAGGGTCCTAGCTTGCTTAGGTGATTTATTCCACACAGTGCAATTGTGTGAGTGTGTGATGTTGCTGCATGTCAGATGTAACCCTTCCTACCCTTCTCTGATGCTCTGACACTTCTGTTCCTTGTCAGGTGAGGTTCTAGAATGGTTGCCAGCATTCAGTAATGCAGGCAACAACATGGAATTGCAAAGTGACACAGTGAGTTCTGTATTATTTATTTCTTCCACAGCAATTTCCAAAATGTTTGTTTTTACCATTATTTAAAACTGAACCAAAGTTTTAATGGTTTTATCAAGTATAATAAATCCTGACATCTCACTTATGAATGAAAACAGTCAGGTAGGAGTTCATCATTTAATGTATATGGTAAGGAGCATTTTTAAAACCTGTGATTTACTTTGCATATATGTCTTTTGAATTTTGTATATTATTGAATGTGAAGATTCTTTAGATTATCTCCTGTTCTTCACATCACCTAAATTTTCATCAATCTAATATTATAGTATTCTATTGGCAAACTTTTTTACACCTCATTTTTGAGATTGCCTGTTAAGTAGAATGGATGAATAAGATAAATGAAGTCCACTTCTGAGTGGAATCTTATTTGTCACTTATAACTACCTTATAGTGATTTTCTAAAAATTATACTTAATTTCTGTTTTTTGAGAAGGATCTGTGACTCTGAGTGACTGTGGAAATAATTACACCATTGTGGTCTGAGTTTTCTTTATATCTTTGGGTATGGAAGAAGCAGTGTGGCAAATACCCATATATCTCAAAGGGTGCACCACTGATACCACTGATGTCTAATGCCCCTTCTCCCTACCACATGTAACACGTGGTGGTGAAGAGGGAGGACAAAATTTCATTAGTGACTCTCCAATGAAAACACTTGAGTGCATGCATTTGTCTACCAAGAAGGATATTCACATTGATCTAACTCCTTAAGAATAAGGAAAATAGGTATGCTGTAAAGTCATTGTCATTTGATTCCACATTAATGACATATTTAGAAAAGCCATTGACAGAGGTTTCCACCTACTGTGTTGTATTGTCATTATAATATTGAATTTTCCTAATGCTCTCCTAAATACAGGTTACAGTAGTTACATACTAATACTTATTAAGGTCTGCAAAATACTATATTAATTTTTGAAATTTATATCTGTGGTGAACAGAACTAGGATATATTCCAACTTTGCTTATTTTTGAATTATCAAAACTTTTTTTTTTTTTCATTTTTCTTTTAGGTATAGACAAATGCAGCTTGGCACAGAAAGCAAAGTTGCTGAACTTCTTCACCAAAGTAAGTTAAAGTCCTTTGAAACTGAACATGTTCAACTCATGCAACAAGAAACAGCTAAGAATCTTTCACAGTGCCAAATGGAATGTGAGAAATACCAGAGAAAGTTGGAGGTATGTCATATAAAGAGACACTTTACAGGGCATTAACATAGTTGTTTTCAATTTGAATGTAAAGTGGAAAAGCTTGGAGAAAAAGTAACAACATGGCATGGCTGAATTAGTATCTCCACCAAACTGTGGTCAAATGACCCAGAAGCAGAGTCAAATGACACAGCTTACTATGTTTGATCAGTTTAATGGAACACAAGATCACAGGGAGAGGAAAAAGCAAAACAATCTCTCATGGAAAGATGTTAAAGACAGAACCTCATTCATGTGGGGTTTATTATCTGCTTGTATCACAGAGCTGCTTATGCCAGTCTGTGTGAGGATTGTAGGGAGAGAAGACAGTTTCACCAGAAATGGTACAGTGAATTCAGTGTCATTATTTGCAACTAGGATCTGTAATAGTATTGTTACATAATAAAATAATAAAATAATTTTTATTGATATACAATTTCTGGAATAAATAACCTTGCTAGTCCTAGCATGATGGGTTACCTTGGTGGGATGCTAGACACCCACCCAGTCAATCATTCCTCCTCCTGAAGAGGATGGGGATGGGGTAAAAAGCTTATAAAGAGCATGGGTTGATATAAAGATAGGGACATCACTTGCCAATTACCATCATAGGCAAAACAGACTTGATCTGCGGAAAACTAATTTCACGTATTACCCATTGACACAGGTTGGATGGTGAGGAACAAAGACAAAAAGTAGAACATCTTTGCCCAGCCTGTTCTCTTTTATTTTAACTTCCCTCCCTCATTTCTGACCCTTGTACCTCCCCCTTCCAGTGCAGTGCAGGGAGGGATGGGAAATAGGGGTTCAAGTTAGTCCATAACAGCTCCTCTCAGGAGGAGTTTCCTCCTCACCCTTTTTTGTCCTGCTCCTGTGGATCCTCTATGTCCTGCAGCTTCCTTCAGGAGAAACTCTCCCTCCTACCTGGGCTCTCCACAGGTGGCAGTGCCTTCTGGGGATGTCCACCTGCTCCAACATGGGCTCTTCTATGGGCTGCAGTGTGGCCATCTGCTTTGGTGTGGTCTTTCATGGGCTGCAGGGAAGCAACCTGCTCCACCATGGGCTGCAGAGCTGGAGCACCTCCTCCCAGGTCACATCAGTGTCAGCAACATGGCCCTCTCTCACTTTTTTCCCTCACTCCTCACTGCCATGCACCATTTTTGTGCTTTATTAAATACAGTTTCCTTGAGGTGCAGCACTTTTGGCTGAGGGACACAGCCTGGGCACCTGCAGCCAATGCACCTGTTTATGTGGGCTTTAACCACTTGGGGGTCTTTATCTCTACAAGCTTAGAATGTATCATCTTTAAAACGTACTGTTCACTTATTTTAATCTTGGAAACGGGAGTATTCCACAGAGAACACTTACTTTAAAACCACATTCCTTCACCTGTCCAAATTTATTCCCAAAAATATGTCACAGAGTCCTATTTATGAGATTAAATGAGATTGGTACTGTATGTTTCAAACCAATGTCAGGATACAAACTGGAAAGGACAGAAGAAAATTATTTGTATGGCAGCCTTTGTTTTTTGGGGGAAGGATGCCAATCTTCAGATCCCCACATTTCTAGTGCTAAACCTGGCTAAGTTGTTTATGAAATGGAACTAAAGAGTGGCAACAGAATTAGAGAGCTTCAGATAGACTTTAATTTCTTGTTTTGTCCGTATTGGGACATTCAGATCCTGGCTGATGGGGTTAGTTGTGGTCACAAGCACTGGGAGTGCCAGTTTTGCTAAACTTAGAGGTGGCTAAATAGATTTTTAATTGCACAGACATGTCTAAACTTGGAGAATGTAGTTCAATTTGAGTTATATTTTCATTTTCTTTGTGGAAATTTTTTGATCTGACAGTAACTCAAATATTTGGCATTCAATTCTACTGACGCTTTTGGCACTTATTTTTCTCTTTTGAGAGACACTTTTAAATTCTTTCATTTAGAAATATGCACTTAAGTGCTCTTTCATTAAGAAATATTCTTGCAGAATTAATATTTGATGTCTGAAGCTTTTATTTTTTGTTCCTTTTGACTGAATTCTTGGGGTTTTTCTTAATTTTCTTTCTTACATATAGCATTAATGTACTAAGGTTTTTTCCCTACCATTACAGGACGTTAGTCTTTATTAATAGTGTTGGCACTGGTACCTTGTGGCTCAGCTACAGCTTTCTGGACTAACTCTTGCTTTTATTTAGGGCATAGAGTAGTTTCTCTTGCTAACCTAGGAAACAGATGGTTTTTATGTTGCCCAGTTTTGACATATACATTTATTTCTTCTGTGACACTGGACTGAACCTTTGATATTCAAGTGGCTTGTTTCTCTAAGCATTGTGAATTCTTTCATGGTTTCAACAGTGACTCTAGTATTACTGCTCTGCACACTGTGCATATATTTCTGTACCTGCAAATCTATATTCACTTGTCATTCTGAATCTTTGTGATTTTTACTTAGGAAGTTAGTTAGAAATTTCACAGCAGTACCACTTGGTTATTACTTTACCTGTTTTGGTGGGATTTTTTCTGCAAAGCATGTAGATTGCTATTTTACATATCAAGGACTTTCTTATTCCAGTTTGATGTGTTTATTTGGTCAATGTTTTTTCCTATTATCAAGTACTTTATCAAACTTAAATTATTATGCAGGCCTTCATAGCTTTTAATTTTGAATATGAGTCTTTTGTTTAAGCTTAGTGGATTAAGTATTTACATAAGTCTTGAATGTTGATAGCATATTACCTTTTATTAATAAGTAAGTAATAAGACTGGTATGGCTTTAATGGCAAATTTTTGTATTTGTATTCTGCAAAGGAATGTTCATAAATTGATGACTGAAGTCAGAATCCAGTTAAAGCAACAAAAATTATTGCATTTATGCTATTTTGACTGCTGTGTGTAAATTTTTTTAGTTGTTACCTGGCTTTTCCTAAGTTTCCTTTAAAATTCTTGCAGCTTTTTCAGACAGCTTCTTAGAATTAATAAGGCCTCAGCAGATAGGCCTAAGATCTGAGAGCTTAATCTTTTCAAGATAATATTATTGAAAGAATAACTGCTTTTTAAATTACTTAAATCTTTGCTGTGCAAAACTTACATCAAATATTTGCTATCATACCAGTACACATTTTGCATGTATTTTGCCTATTTCAAAAATCACTGTAATGCTGAATCCCTGATCTTTCCATTATTCATTCTCACAGGTGCTTACAAAGGAGTTTTACAGTCTTCAGTCTTCTAGTGAAACCCGCATTATTGAGCTTCAAACACAGAATTCTGAGTTTCAAGCAAGACTAGATACGTACGAAAAACTTGAAAAAGAGCTTGATGAGATAATACTGCAGACAGCAGAAAGTAAGTTCTGTCACAAGTTGTTTTATCTGTAGGTGTTTCTGGCATAACAATATAATTTTTCTCATGACTTGGAAGGAATTACAGTGCCTGTCATTCTTCTTCGTTATGCCTGACAAGTAAAAGGCACTAATTATTTTGATAGAAAATATTAATGGCAGGTTTCTAAATGTACTTGTAAATATGTATCAAACATCCATATGTTTAATTTGTGCTTATTGAAAATCAACTCAGTATTCAGTCATTTCTCTTTTTCTTATTCTAATTATCCATTATAATTGGACACTCTTTAGGATTTGTCCATTATTTTAGTACATTTTAAATGTCAGGAAGCCCTCTTTGTTGACAGGCAAATACAGGTTTTATATTTCATTACAGTGATTAATGTGAATTTTTTAACTAATTGGAAGGAGGAAAAAACCTCTTCCTTCTGTTGAATTAATAATAATTAGACATTAAGTAGTTGCTTGTGGCAGCTCAGTCTGTTCCAAATACTAAACCATGGATTAAAGTCTTACCTGATTACTCTTGAAAATTTTTGTCTCTCATTTGAAAAAATTAAAATGTTCCCAAACACAGCAAAATTTGTGTAAAATCTCTATTTGGTTCTTAGCCTAAATCAATCCACAAAGCAATTAATTTCTAATTAGAAACTCTGACTCTAATCTTGAAATCTTTTAGCCAGTGTGTAGACAGAGTAGGATATTCTAAAATTTCAGACTAATTCAACTGTCATCTTCTCCTTTTGTCCTTCTTCCTCCTTCAAAAAATAGTCACAATTTATAAAGTATAGAAGATTATTGCATAAGCTTTATATATAAACAGTAGTGTCTTGTAAAGTGTGCATTATCAAGACGTAGTAATGTTAGTGACCAGACTGCACATGCTTTATTAATTTTATGCACTGCTGCCTGTACTTAGAATGGCCTGAGTACCCAAAGGTTCCAGTCTGACCTAGAGTTCAGAACACTGGTTTTTGTTTACATTGGTTTACATTTTCTTATGCATCTTGGGACAGCAGTTAAGTTTTTTACCACATCATTCTTAACTTCTCAAATATCTATTTTAATTACAATTAACATTCTATGCTTCAGAATGCTAAAGAAAGCATTGAAATGCTTGCAAATGAACTGTTATTTTAAAATATAGTGACTTTATTTTCTGATTTCCTTGGAGAAAAAAAAGGAGTCATAGCTTAATATTATTTTTCTCTTAAAATATTATTATATTATTATTATTTATTTCTCTTTAATACTGAACTTGCTATTTCAGTGTATTTGATATAGAAAGTTAACATTAATACTAGTTAAGGCTAGTATATTAGGGAAAACAGAAGACATTTATTTTTTTTTAAAGACATTTATTTATTTTTTAAATAAACACTTTGAAGGAGAAGACAGATATACTTCCTCCTGTGTCTCAAATTATGCTCTGATAGTTATATGTCATCAATAGGTAATGGTAGAAAAATAACTGAAAGGAAGTATAACTATTTTTTAAATCAATGTTTTATGGAAATACTTCAGTCCATGTTTCTTGGAATATAATTTAGACTGAAGTATTGTGTGGAAGACAATTAGAGTTTTCTACAGACTTTAGTGATAATAAGGATTAATCTTCATTCCTGTGGTCACCTCTTTATATTTAAATAGCATATAATTCTTTTTTCTTCATCCTGAGTCATGAAGCCTCTGCTGTTTTACACTATTTAGGGATGTCAGTGAGGGTTGGGTTCTCTGGACTTTTTAATAAATTGTGTATTTATTTACACATGTGAGATGGCTTTTGTCATATAATATATAAATCATATATATATGCACTTTTTTTTTCCCCTTTGGAAAATATGCATGTGGAAGAGATCACTGAATTTTTACTGTTACTCCCTGATCATTATGCCTCACTTTATTAATATTGAAATGACATGAAACAGCTTATTCAGGAAGCTATCAACAATTTATATAGCCAGTTCTTACAGTGCCTGAGAGGTTTCCAGATGAATAACAGTAGTAAATTTCCTTGGCATTTGTCTGTTCTTCCTTTTCAGGGTACAATCTTCACGCTAGGGTATTTTTGTTGTAGACTAGTTGTTTGATTTTTCTTGTTTCCATTGCTCAGTATCTTTCTAAGAAAAAGACTGAACCCATCTATATCCTCACAATGGCACATCCTTGCTGAGTAGCATAAGAAACTGTCATTAAGAAGTGTCCCCTAGCTTATAAAATGTAAATTTACACCACAAAGTAGGTGAAGAGACTGGAATGTTGTAAGAGAAGAGAAGCACACACTGATACAGAATATTATTTTGATACCTACAACATTTCCAATTTCTTTTGTGTTTGTCTTCCTGATGTGACATTTACTGGGCACTAGAGACAGATCTGAATTTACAGGACAGGATCTTACTGACGTTTTTCTGAGACATTTGACACTGAATATTTAACCAAAAAGAAGGGTATTAACAAAGCAGGATAAATTATTCTTTATGATTTTCTGAACCAGAGGTGTTTAACGGCACCTAAGAAGTCTCTGTCATATTTAAGACAGCTCTGAAGTGCTGGTGTCTTTGTAGTGCCACGTTAGTAAACTTTTTCTGTCATACTTACTGAAATTTCTATATTGTTTTTAATGTACTAGATATGTGACTTACCACGGGTGCTGTTCTAGAGGCTTTTCTCTTTCTAAATGTGTTTTAAGAATCCTTGTATAAAATAGCATTACAAGGGTATTAGACAAGTGGCAAAGAAGTTACAGCATTTTGCAAGTTGTTGAGAAATGGAGGTATTTATGATTTTGAGGCACTTGAGCATTAAGAAAGATGAGTCAGATAGGACTCACATAATTTCCTACATTTGTTTCTCCTGTTCCCAACTATTTGATTCATCAAAGCTTTTGTGTGGTGCCTGGGCTGGTGTTTACTTGTTCTCCCTCCTTCTCTCACACCACCTGCCACTCCCATTTTTCTCATTGTCCCCCTTTACACCTCCTCTCTGTCCCACTCTCTCTGCCTCTTTCTATTTCACACATACACTTACTCTTTTTCTTTTTCTTTTTTTTTTCCCTGGCCCACTTCATCTTACAGGAGAGCGGAAACCTGAATTCCAGAACTTGAAATATCAACATAGACATTTTAATCTTGCTGCTATTGGGATTTCCTTTCAAAACAATTATAATCTGCTTAAAACCCTTAGAAATGTGTTTTCAGAAATCAATCACCTATGGAAGCAGAGATTATTTTTAATATTTCTGTTTTGCATGTACTTAAGAATCTCTTTTTTTGCCCTTCTCTGAAGAAATGGATGGTATTTGTTTTCATCAAGTGTGCTGAAATTTCTGATCACCACAGCCTTTCAAAAACCATAGTGAGCAGCTTCACTGTGACCCTTTGCAACATCAGATGTGTCCCTTCTGGTCCCATGGATTTTGTTATGTCCTGTCACCTTAAACACTTCAAATTTTCTCTTCCTCTACCTTCTCATGTATGCACTGAAAATTAATTATTTAGGTTAAAAACTTAAACAACCTAACTTTCTACTTCTAAAGTAAACTTAGTACAAGTAGTATGTATTTTGTGACCATACCAACAGTATGAATATTCAAGATAACTGAACTATTTTTCTTTACTTTTGTATTGCATAAGTCTTACGTTGAAGATAAAAATGAGAAGTGTTGTAAGTAATTAAAGCGTGGCACTAAATTTGATGTTAATGGTGAAAAAAACTGTTCCACTCAAGCCCAGAAGGTTACACCAACTTAAAATTTAGCTTCTAGAAAAATGTTTTTGCATGTTGAGTCGTAAATAGAATTGCTTAGAAGTTTATAAGTTCTGGCACTGTTCTTCAACAGCACCTTTCTGCATTTTTTTGCAGTGGAAGATGAAGTTGAAGCTGAAAGGGTTCTCTTCTCATATGGATATGGTGCTAATGTTCCTACAACAGCCAAAAGACGACTAAAGCAAAGGTAAAAAAAGAGTACGTCATGAATTCACTTGTTCGAGATAAACTAAATGAAGATTACATGCATTATGTTTTGTATTAAGATCCAGCCAGTTTGATAAACATGAAGAGGTTTTTTAATGGCTTAAGTTTACAGGAATAGATTGAGGACTAGGACCTGTTAATGTAGTTGATACATATGAATGAACATATTTTTGTAGGTCATTTTAAAATCTCTTCTCATTGACTTTTAGAAAGATTAATTAAAATTGTATAAAATTAAGCAGCTGTAAAAACAGATTAGTTACATTGTTTACATTTATATAATAGCATATGCATTATGAATACCCTAAAAATCATTGTATTTAATAGTAAGAAAAACATATCTGTCAGGATATTAAGAAGGACAGTGGTTCAGAGCATAACTATTTTATCGTCACTAATACAGGGTCTTATTCCACTTGCATATTTTTTTAGTTTATTCTGATTTGGTCAATTTGAAAATTTGACTAAATTAGACTAAAATGATGCATAGGTGAAAAACATGCCTCTTGATCATAGTCATTTTGAACTAATAAATTTATATTATGCATTGTCTTTAAGAAATAATAGTGACATTTGAATGGCTCATTCTGAACTTGTGTGTGGTGGCTGTGACTCACTTCTCCCACACAACTAACAACAGGGTAAAAGGAAATGACCTCAGGCTTGCCAGGGGAGGTTCAGGTTGGACAAGTTCTTCACAGAAGTGGTTGTCAAGCATTGGAATAGGCTGCCCAGGAAGGTGGTGGAGTCACCATGCCTGGAAGGTGAAGAGTGTGCAAAAAACCTCCATGACCCTGTGGCACACTTGGTTTAGAAAACTGTTGAGAGCTCTATATCACCGTTTCCTAAAGCTTCAGTTTATTCCTCTTTTGTCAATAGTTTGGGCACTTTTCTGAGTTTCCACTTTGATCCTTCTTTTTCCTCACTTTATTAGATTCAGTTTAGATTATTTAGGCATATGACAACTCTGCTGAATTTCCTTTGAATGCTGAATCTGATGATCAGGCCAGGATTTCAGATATGCTTGGAAGACACTTTTTGAGCTTAGAAGCAGCTCTCTTGGAATGACTCATATACTCCACTTTTGTTCCAAAAGGCATTGACTAATAAACTGACTTAATCCTTCATAATAGTGTTGGAGACTTCATAGAGTTTCTTTATCTTTTAGAATTAAAAAGATTTAAAAAGCCATAAAAGACTGTGTATGTTTTACCTGTTGTTTTGATTCAAGGAAAACTGCCAGGCAGATAATGTGTGTGATGCCTTTAGCTGCCAAAGTTTTTAAAAGCAAAGACTCTGACACCATCCTCTATTTAGCACCATTAAAGAAACACAGATAAATTTTCTGCTCTCTAGGATTGCTTAAGGAAAGACAATCTATTACAAATGGGAATAGTCTTCTTTCTGGAGTCCACTACCTGCTCTTTAATCCCAGACATATGGGATCCTAAATGAAGAGCTCCTTTAAGTTCACATCATGCACTTCTGTCTCTCAAAGTTTGTACAAAATGGACCTTTTCAAGCAGTGTGGGGTCTGTACTTCTTTGGCCAATTGCCAGAAACAGCTCCTTCATTACTTCAGACATAGGCATTGTACATCCTTAGTACTAAATTGAGCCTGCCTGGGAGCGCTCTGAAGCATCAAGACCAAATGGCCTGTAGAAACCTGTTGCCATAAAACAGTTCTCAGTGTAGGATAAACTACATGTGAACAACATATTGGCAGTAATTTGCTTGCCCATGCTGACTTTCTCAGCTATGCCTAGGAACTGCTTGGGAAGTGTTAATGAGAGAATACAAAACACTACCAGGATGGCTTTGGTGGTTTGCTAACAAGGAATTACCACATTTTTGAGCACTGCATAATTTTCTAGGATAGTTGGAATCAAATGTTTCCAGCATAAGATGCCTTTGCACATTAGTCCCTTTGTCTCTTTGCTTTCAATTCAAACTGGTCAAAAAACATACTGAAAAGTATGCCTGAAAGGTGTACTTGTGTTATCCTTAAATATTTGCAAATTCAGATGAAGTTCACTGAGTAGTTGAAGCCTGGAAAATTACAATGGGCTGCATTCCTAAATTTGCCATGGGAAGGTATCCAAGTTTTCACTTACACTCTAATAGCTACTAGTCAAAGAAGTGGCTCCTTTCTCTTTTGTACTAGATGAGATTAGTGCATGAAAGAGTATGCTTATAACACAGATAAAGATTATTAAGACTTCTGCCAAATCCAGAAGTCTATTCCATTTTACTGAGGAAGAGATGGATGTTATGACTGGTCAAATTTTCAGATAAACTTCATATGCTCATCTAGATTTATGCACACTTAAGCCTGAGCTTCAAGTCAGTCAGTCTGCTTTAGACCACTCTACCCTCTCCTAGATTCTGTATCATAGTCAGGAAATGGTTGTGGAGTTACTCAAGAACCACCTGGATGCAGTCCTGCACAACGGGCTCTGGAGGTTGGACTGGATGGCCACTGTGGTCCCTTCCAACCTTGCCCATTGTGTGATTCATAAGAGTTTGGAGGATTAGGTTCGATGTCTGCTAGCAGGCTCTGCAGTGCATATTGAATCTTCCCTTTCCTGCCCATGGACCTGTGCTCTTGAATAGATTCACACCTCTTTTATTCTGGACATAAAGCTTGCAAGAGGTTGAGGATCTAATTTTTTAACTAGGTTGTTTAAGTATCTCAATAATCCTTTCTCTTCAGAGTTAATCTGTGACTCCACATAAGAGTTTATTTAAAACAAAATTGGCAATAATATTAAATTATTTACCATATTAAATGTCAGACAAAACAATTTTGCCCCTCTTTTGAAAGTGATATAATACTACATTTTCAGTGTTTTGCTGCAAAACATATATTAATGAGCATCTTTAAACCATTATTTAAGTTAGAATTAAAGTGAGTTTGTAAAATTGCTAAAAAGTAAATAATCATAATTAGATGAAGAATTTTGACAGTATTTCTACAGTTGTGTAGTATTGGACAAATTGTAATTACTATGCATAAAATATTACAATAGCATAACTCTGGGAATGTTATTTTAGTGCTGTTATATTTTGTAATATTTTGACTGTTTTTCTAACTTTGACTATGCAGCATGTTTAACTCTATAGTTTATATATGTTAATATTTAAGCATTGGTGAAAAATTAAGGCCATCAAATCCTGAAGTATAAATGTTAGAATTTCTTTTGCCTATCTTGGAAAAAATTCAAGTTGAACTTGCTTTTTACTGGCACAGTGTTCACTTGGCAAGAAGATTGCTGCAGCTAGAAAAGCAAAACTCGTTGCTTGTGAAAGATCTGGAACATCAGAAGGAACAAGTAATACAGATTTCACAAGAGGTAAATCATTATTACACAAAAATTCAAATATGTAGAAACATTGCGGAACAGCTGTTCATAAAATGAAATATTTTCTAAATAGTGTTTTTTATCTATTTGATGGTAAAAAATGGCCTCATAACTAACCAAAACTCCATGATAGAAGTTTTCAAAGAAGTTTATATTGTGTTTTGCAACTAATATTGAAAGGAGGATTACTTTACAGGCTAAACAAGAATGTAAGCCAGACAGACAACATTTTGATTTCTGAAGAGAAGAACAGCCAGCCAAGCTAGTTTGTTCTGTTTGATACTTAATTGTTCAATGAAAGCATCACTACTTCTTACACAGCTCTTCTGTTAAATCACTTTTGAAGATATTTAACAAACCTCAGCTTGAAAGGTCCCAGAATTAGGGCAAACTAATTTTTTAAAAAATCTTTAAATCATCTTTTAATTTTTCTCATAGGAACAAAAGGACAAATAGGTTTTCTATTAGATGATGCCACCATATGTAATTTCTAGGCTTACTGTTTCAGGAATAGTAACAGCTTAACATTTTGATTTTTAAAGCCACAGTAATTACAAATTAGAATTACTACACCCAAGTACTTCACAGAGTGCAAATACTGAAATTTCTACATATTTTTAAATTACTTGAATTTTATAAATTGTATGTGTATATATATGTCTATATAGGTTATTTCAGTGAAAGTTTGGGGATTTTTTAACCAATACTTTAATTTGTTATGTATTCTTAGGTATGTCATTGTAATTTCTATTTGACTAAAACATATTCTTTCAGGTTCTTACTTGGAAGAAAGGAAATTGGTGAATCATAGTTATCCTTGGTATTCTTCCATATCACTATTCTTTGTCTTAAATTGTTCTGTGTTTCACTTCAATACATTCCTTACCCACAGTAGATTTTTACTTGCTTCACTGATGAAAGATTCAGTATCACTGACCTTAGTTCAAATTCCTGCAGTTTTCCACAGGAGCATCTTCAGCTAATTTTTATCCTGTCATTAAATTTTTGATCTTTTACCATATAATTGTATAAATTAAATCATAATACAACCCAGTACAAAGTTAAACTTTTTTGTGTAAAGTTCTAAAACTTTTCTTTGCTGTCTTTACATGATTTGTACTCCCAGCTATTGTTTTTCTTGATTTTTTTGTTTTAGAACAAGCCAGGGATCCTGTAGACTACAGCATGCTTAAGTAGCCCATTATTTTTCTTTCCACTGAGAGTTTGTTCAGTCATCTAGATGAAGTCTAGAACATGGATAAAAAGCTAATGCAAAAGTGATTTTTTCAGCTTTTGGTTTGAACTTGGCTCAAATACTGCTACTTAAGTGCAGTATTTATTATACAACCTCTTCAGCTTTTTAAAGGAGGGAAGAAAATACCACACTAAGTCAATAAGACCATAAACAGAGGCATTGTGACTCTACTTTTATTTTTAATCAATGGAAGCTGTTACATTAAAACCCTTGAAAATGCAGATTAGGAGAGTGTAGAGAGTGGTATCATTATTGCAGTGAAAATAGCACACAATTAGAACAGAAAAGTGTGAAGATAGTGTACTAGTAATCAATTTGAAGGAAGTATGTTTCCTTTTTTGTGTATATAATAAAAGGTTAGGAGTTTATATTACTATGCAATTGGTAAAAAACAATAATATCCAATAATAGTTCAGTAATAATCAATAATAATTGTAATAATCAATAATCAGTAATAATTGTGCTTTATAAGTTAAAAATTATAAACCTTTTTTTGCAGCTTGACAGAGCAAATTCTTTGTTGAACCAAGCACAACAGCCATACAAATACCTCATTGAAACTGTGCAACAGAGAGATTCTCAAATAAGTCTACAGAAAGAACATATTGCACAACTTGAAAAAGATTTCAGGTAATTAAAATCATTGATTCTTGTTTTACTTTCTCTTAAACTGAAGGTAAAAGCACTTATATTTTTATCATTAGAAAAAAGTTGTGCTATTGTCCACAAAGTTGAGATATTAACACTCCATCACTGACCAGCTCCAGTCCTCGTGCTGGAACTGTAGCACTTGTTATTTCCCTGACAATGTCAGAAAAGGTACTTTAGTTTTCGAAAAGCAGCTGTGACAAGTTTAAAGTGAGTTTCGAGTTGAGAAGAGCTCTCATGAAGTAGAGTTCAGAAAACTGGAAGGAAAGAATGACACCAGTTGTACAACAGTAAAAATCAAGAAAAAAGTCAGAGAAAAATTATAATAGAGTAGTCCACCAGTTAAGGGTATTTCAGCCAAAATTAGAGCATATGCTCTCATGGAGACACTGATTTGCTGCTGTATCCATCTGTCAGCTCTCTCTAACCACTGAGCAACTTCCCTAACACCTGATTCCCAGGTAAGCTGTTACAAAATAATATTCCTTTCAAGGAAGTTGATAGCTGAGTCCCACTGCACTACAGAAGAATTAGCGTTTTAAGTATTCGGTGTTTATGTGGTGCCTTGGTTTAGGAATAGCAAACAGTAACTATTAGGAGATATTAATGTGATTCTGTTATGAAGCAATTACATGAAAATACAGGATTTTCCACTCATCTACTGAAGCAATTAAAATAAAACAGGATTCACCCTAGCTAATACTAACCTTACATACTGTCATACATATGTATGTATTCATAGTGTTTTGATGGTTTGGGATGGTAGTTATCCCTTGAGGATAACAAAAAATGCTAAAAATGCCTAAACATGCTTATTATCCAAGCAAATCTATATATGAATCAATAAGTTTATAAATGAACTGAAATATTAATTCATAGTTCCTGACGATATTTTTCTCTGAGCTTAATTTTGATTCACTAAGACTAGATCTTTTTTAATTCCAGAATCAAGTGTTTTTAATATTTTCCTAGAGTTGTTACATTGTAAGAAACACCTCAAAGATTAATTATATTTTTCCAGAAAATGAAAAATCCCAGTGTTCTCTAGATACAGTGTCTGACTTTCCATTTGTGAAAAGTATCAAAGAATTGGTCACAAACTTTTAGATTATGGCAATAATAATGGAATGGTTTTGTTATCACAAAGTAGTTAAAAAGTATCTCAAAAGGAAGATAGAAGGGGAATGCATAGGTGAGGTCATTTCTGAAAGTGTGTGTTTCATGCTTTAAAATCTAAAAGAACTTAAATGTGTTGTTAACACTGATTTTCTTGAGTTAAATGGCTCATTGCCAATAATCTGTATGCTTAGATATTCTTCTTAAGTTTACCTTACCAACTAAGGTACCTAAATTAGAGACTTAGGTCAACTTTCCTTAATAGTTCATGGAAGAAGTGACATCTCCAAAAAGTAATTCAGATTTTGGGTGGAGTGAGTTACTTCTTAGAGATGCCTATTGCTCTCCATTAACTGTAAAGTATTTTTTTTTTCATTTTAAAGGGACTCAGGTTAAGAAAGAAAATGGATCTGCCCTAGAGTGTGAGCATTCATGGTAAACATGCCAGCAGTACTCCACTGTGGGGAGCTGGGGTGTGCTCAGCATTCGTCTATGTTGCTGTAAATGAATGTGTGGCCTGACAAAAAAAATACTATAGCAAAAAAAAGTAACACTTACTTTGCACATCAGTTATTTTGGTAATTTTTTGTTCTGGTAGTTTCCAGTATTCCTTGTAAACTGAAAATAGCTTTTACTCCACTATCACAAGTTTGCCCAGTTTCATAGCCCAGAGAAATTATTGAGAACAGCCTAATGTTTTAGGGCTTTTTGTGCATATTAGTAGTCCTTGATTTTGTTATTCATAACTCCATATTTAAAACAAAGGTCCTAAACTGTTAGCTGGTATTCCCTGGCATACATGAGAAATCATAATCTGGGATGAAATTGATAATGTTGGTCCCTTGCTTTCCGATAAGTGAGAGGAGAGTTAGAGGTAGGGATTTCTATCCAGAGAAACATTGCATTCAAGAAATTTCTTTTCATGAGGATAACCTTTTGGAATCTGCTGATGACAGTTTTAAATTAAAATATCCCTTAGGTGATTTCAGATTACTCTCAGCTATTCCAGAACTGAATCAGAATGGGATTTAAGTAAATTAATGATAATCCTACCAAATATATGCCAAGTGAAGCTCTGCTGGATCAAAAGATTTAGCCCACTATTCCTATCCCTCTTAGTTTATTACACAGCATTTTGTTGGTTTGTGCATGGAATATTTTTGAGAGGATGAGTTCAGAGAATTAATGCTCCTCAAGGAGAGCCTTAAATTCTGCAGATAATGTTGGTGCTATTAGAAAAGTATTAATGAAAGCACTAAATATGGTTTATGAAGCCTGGTCTGTCTGTATTTCAGAGCTGAAGGAAAATTTTAATATTTGTAAGACCATTTTAAAATGAAATTGTTCTTTCAACCATTACCTATGATTAATAGTTGATAATACTGCAATTCTGCAGCAGCCTCTATTCTGAGGTTTAATTTGTGCTACAGTTACACAAGGTACATTATTTTTTAAAATTTTAAGTACAGTAATGCATTAGTCTTTTTTCTAAACAGCAATTTCACAAGAACCAGCTACAGGAAAAATAGTGCTTGAATTCTTGTTTTCAGATGAACCTTCAAAAATACTAGTGATTTTTTGGGTGCATAATTTTTTTAATCTCATATTTGAGTACCAGATTGGAGACAAATTAATGTAGTGTTGATAATGTCTGCACCCTGAGAATCAAGACTTAATTTATCCTTACAGCTGCTCGATGCTTGATCATAATTTTCCTTCCTTTTTATTTAGTGTGCAGATTCAATGGTGGAGGGGTGTTCTTTTCGTGTTGTTTTTTTATCTCATCTGCTCATCAAAAGAGAACATTCTGTAAATCATGGATTCCCCAAGCAGAACAGGCACATCTGTGTTATCAGTGCCAGTGTTCTCTTATCACTTCCCACTCAGCTTGAGTGTGGAGTGATCAGCAAGGACTTATTTGCAAGTGAATTTACTTTTTTAGTCTTAATCCATAATTGCCTCCTATACACAGTGATCATGGCCAATAGTCTTTATAGAACATACTCCTGGAGTGATTAGGTTCCAGCAGATTTCCAGGATGATGAGTCAACACTTTATTGCAACCTATAAATGTTTTGCAGCAACCTGCAGCACTTTGTACTTCCATGTCTATTGAGATGTTTGTTGGTTGTACTGGATGTGAGTTTGATTCTGTGATGAAACAGAGTGTTGCTCAACAGCAGATGTTGTTGAATCAGCACAAGAGGAAGACAAGCACAAGGAAGGCTATCTATGACAGAAATCTCATTTTGGATGTTCTTGGGCCATATCTTTATCAATTTTTCACAAAATAGCCTAAATTCCCTTATATAATGGTCCCTTAACAGGCAACAGATGTGATCAGTATTCTCCACACTCATAATTCTATTAAAGTGTCATTTTTTACAGCAGTCATTTCTGCAAGAGGAATGGAAAGATTCAGGCAGATCATTTTGATATAGTATTTTTGACAAGTCCTGCAGACCCATCTAAGTCTCTTTCCAGCATGGTCTTCAAAGTTCACTTCAGCTAGAGCAGCTTACCTGCCTTCATCCCTAGCTGTCACACCTGTAGAGCTAAGGGTCTTTCAGAGCCTTCGTATCAAAATATCTTCCTCTCTTGGAAGGACTGTTCAAGTGGTGCTCAAGGTTGCCTGTATCAGTAGCTGTCAGACTGAATCACAGAGTGGTTTGGATTGGAAGGAACCTTTAAAGATCATCTAGTTCTACCTTCCTGCCATGGGTAAGGACATCTTCCACTAGATCAAGTTGCTCAAAGCACCATTCAACTTCTCACTGAAAGGAAAGAAACAACCAGAATACTTATCAGACAGAATTAAAGTAGTGTATCCAGCAGACCTGGAGATACTTTGTTGGTTTGCTGAGAAGTGTGTCCCTTCTGAACATGTGGATCTTTAGCCATACCTTCCTAAGAGCTGCTAGAGCTGTTGTGGTTGGGGTAAATGCTTAACTGGGCTGCTGCCATCGCTGGGATTCGCATAAACAACTTAGGGACCCACTGCCAGGTGATTAAAGGTGTGCTGATATCACTGCTGAGGTTCAGGAGTGAAGGCACAAGCATATTATCACTCAAGGAGAAGGAGAGGTTATTAAGGATAATGGAGGCTCCGTCAGGTGTTACCCACATATGGTGTTCACTCCCACTCTCATTCCCATCCCTTTAGGATTCTCCCAGGCAGGCCATGGGCTGTGCTGGCACTTGGCCTCAAGCAGAACTTGGCTCTGGGAGCAGAACACTTTGTGTGCTTCTGAACTGAGCCATGCACCTGCAGATAGGTTTCGGATACAAAACCTTGGGCTTGAGTGACAGGGCATCTGCAGGATGCATTTATAGGTGGTCTGCATATCTCAAAATACTCTGTTAAGTAACTTCTTATTTATTTTAGACCACATAGCACTCTCGTTAATAAAAGTAAATAGTGATGCTTAATAAGAGCAGTGCTGTGTGTGAGGATGACTCCTTGCTGCTATAAAGAAATCTCTCTAGCATACAGTTCTTTAGCCAGAAAGGAAAACATCACATTTAGCACTCCTTTGGAAAAGAAATGCTTGTAACTATGTCATGCTGTGGGAAAACAAATCTATGAGTTTCATTCTTATGTATGTAGTGAAGTAATTGTAGTTTTAGTACATAATTTTCTGCTAAAAACATCTAGGTTTATAAATAACTGGAGATGTTAAAAGGACTTCATTCATAAAGTGAGGGTATTTATTTTAAATGCAGTTACTCAAATTTCTCAGTACCAATGGCTGGTTTTAAAAGAGGTTCACTTACGCAAAAGCAATACTCATAAGCCTTAACTGTGTGGAAAATCCAGAAGCCATATAACGATTTTGCTCACTAAGAAGCTTTGTACTGAAATGTTCCTTACCTAAACATTTTGGGTTCTCTAATTGCCATCCAAACATGAAGCTCAACATAGAGTGTTAGATGAGTTTTTCCCATCAAAGAATGGGCAATGAGCTTTTTATGAGAACATTAGCATTCTGTGAAATATGCACCACCTATTCCAATAGTACTGCAGCTTACCAGAGAAATGCTCCAAGCAAAATTTGTAGAAATATGTCCTTTTTTTATACATTTTCTGACCTGTAATACAACTTTTAAAAAGTTGTTTGGATTGGGTTTTTTTACAGTTTGAAAAATTAATTTTAATTTGGACACTTCATGGATAGGTTTTTAAGTCTCCTGAAACATTTCAATTAAAATCATTAAGCAATACTTTCCTAAATCTGTTTAAAAATCTGAGCTGTGATTATTTAGCTGCACAATAAGAGATCCTGAATTGTCATGTATTCTCTCTTGGAAGGAACTTTTGTTTGGAAAACGTCTTATACCTCCCTTTCTAACTATGTGACTTAAGAACAACATTTGACCTAGACTAATAATTAGCTGCTTACTTTGTGCTATTCATCTGTAATTTGCAGACAAGGGATAGTTTCACTACATGGCTATATTATATATTCAGTTATATGTACAAAACCTTTACATATACTATTTGTATTTCATTTTTTTTCAATGGCAATAATATATCTGAATATAAAACGAAAAAAAAATCAATATTGGACTATTCAACTTCATGCTGTAAGGGCAAATTAACAGAAAGGCACAGTCTATTTCTTACAGCATCTGGAGTACACCGTTCCCTGAAAAAGAGACATACTTTTGTTTCCAAACTGAGTAGAAGTAATAAAAAATCCAGTACTATATAAAACCCATGTTTATTTTGTGTGTCCAGCATAAACATATTATTCAGAATATCTAATTATAGAAGCTTCTGAACAGGATAGTAAGTAATATATTTACACTTCAGCATTAAAAATGGTTTAGTGGCCCAAATTGAAAAGAGTTTATAAGGCTGAAACTGGGAAATGTTAGTATGTATTCTCCAGAAAAATCATGTTGCCTAAAAATGTCTTACATACGATATCCAGGCTACCATGGCTTTAGATCCTGAGTGAAGCAAGACAAAACAAGCCAGTGGTTGCTATGAGCAATGTGTATGCGTATGACAAGCGTATTTTATGGTGAGCCCACATTCCTGGTACCTGGATTCATACCTGGCTGGGCTTTAAAAGCATGATGGAATGAAACTAGATGTCCTCACAGACAATTTGGTTTCTTCTGGAAAGCACACAGAAAAAGCAGGATTTGCACTGCTTTTCAGTTAGTTCTCTAACCTGGACTTTTCAGGCCACAGTTCTCACAACAGGCACTTTCTCCACATTCAGGATGAGGCCGTCAGTGACCAGCATTGTGGAGCACATCATGGTCTTACCTTTTTAGATGGAAGTTACAACCCTTGAGCTCTAGTGTTAGAAGCTGGTTTGCCTAGACTCATAGATGGTGGCTTCAGAATCATAGCAAGACACTTGAGGCATTCCATCACCAAATGGAGCAGCTCATCCTTGCCTTCAGCTGTAGGTCTCCACTGTACATGGCAAATCAAGTTATTTTGGTGATCCATGTGAAAAATAACCTTTAAAAAGACGCCAGTGTCCATCCAGATCGGTGAAGGACCTTCTTATGTGATGACAAAGTGTCTAGTACCAACAGAAAGAGGAGGTTACCAGCATGTGGCAAGGCAAGGATGATCTTTCAACAGTTCTCACTGAGGTCAGCTAAAACAAATTGTAAAGCTGCTCTCTGATTTGTAACACTGCCAATTAAACTTGGACTAGGTTAAACTACTCTTTACTGGGAGTGTAAGGTATGTTAAGCCTAGAATCTCTTTGCTGCTATCCAAGACATTGGTTCAGAGCTTTTTAGACCAGAAACTGAAATGGTCAGTCTTATTCCCAAGATGCAACTTTTAAAGGTATTTCTGTTTAACTTGTCAAATATTATCATTCTGTCTGTTAACTATTTTCCCACTCTGTTAAATGTGCATATGCCTCTTGCAGTATTCCTTCATGAGCACATGAATTATTCCCTTCTATCTGCAATGATGAAAAAGCACAAGTATTGCAGAACTACAAAATTCAAAGTTGCATATGCTTTGGTAATTCTATATCAATGTGTATGACAGAAAAGACATGAAGTGCTACTGAATGATATAGTAGTCTATGTCCTATATTTTACTATAAACAAAGAAAATTAGAACTGCTTTACATTGATCACTTATGTCATATTATTTCAGAAGGTATAAGCAGTATAAGTAGAATAGGTTCTATTCCGTAAATGAAACTGAACCTCAAACATGAACTTCTGGTTCAGTCTGAACACCAATGATTATGCTTATTCAGTACACTAAAGTCTTAGAGAAACTTGTATTATTGCTTCTCTAATAAGTTTTTGAGCTTCTAGAAGGATTAGTTTATGTTCTTAAGAAATACAGAAATCCAAGAAAAAGTGATATGAAAGTAACAACACATGAACCCAAGAAAAAGAAGGTATAGCATTTTCATCATGATTAAAAATGTGACAGAAAATAAAACTCTTGAAAATATTAAAATATTTTTATAGTTTTTAAAATGTTATTACTTTTCTTTTAAATAGTTGAAACAACTGAGCAATTTGGCAAAAGGATACATTTTTTTTCTGAGAATTAATGAATGCCTAGAAGGAATTGACAGTCGTAATTTACAATACAGAGCTTGTAAGGAACTGCCAGAAAATCTCTGGGGCAAAGGATGATGTTGCTTATTTGAAATGAGCGGATGATACATGGCCAATTAAAGATTGATTTATTTTGTTGATCATTTCTGGATCAAATATTGGAAATAGCAAATAATTTGTGTTTGCAACATATGTAATTGCTCCATTTATGAAATTTTAATATATTTGCTTTTGAACTCCTGACCTGTTTGTGGTATTACATATTTGCATTCCATATGCAGAATTGCATTTTTCATAGTTCTTGATTTATGTTACAGTTTATATTGTACAATGTATTTTGTTAAGTCATGTTAATGGCACACATAACATGTCTTCCAAGAAAATCTCTGTGGCTGTTTTAACAAAATAGATTATATACTGGTATTATGCATGCATTAGTCTAAAATTTAATGTTAGAAACTGATTCTGGGGCTAAATAGGAAAATACATTTAATTATTATAGAACTGCTGCCTGGAATCACAATGTGTATGCTAAACATTTCAAATGTTCATGTGCTATAACTATGAAGACAAAGAATGATTAAAGTTAAACATTACATTCTGCTATAAAGGTATGCCTTCATGCTAAATCAGTTTTCATACTTGCTTCATAGGACAAGCTTGATCCCATACATTATCCTGGAATAAAAATATTAAAAACAACAAAAATATCTTTACAATTTTTGCAGAAACTATACAGCTAAAGGGAGAAGAGCTGTATGTTTTTCTTCCTTGTATTTGCTATTTTCAGAATTCTAAATACAGTAGTATAAAGAGTTCCTATGGTGTGCTACTGCTAGTGACTAATACAACAAAGAAATCCACATTTTGATACGGAAGTGTAGGTATAAGGAGACTTACTTTGCTTATAAAATAATCTCATTTTGCCTAGAAGAAACCAAGAAATGGTAATAGAAGATTCTAATCATTTAAATTACCCTTCAGAGGGGAAAAAAGAGGCATTTTATGAAGGCTTTGAATAGTTTTTCCGTTTGACTAAAATAAGAAGTTGTGCGTACATTTGGGCATATTTATAAAAATTTCGGTGCTTGAATATAGAGAAGGATCATTTGATACAATTACTTGAGCAGATTTTTATTGTTGCCAGTATTTAGCTTTAGAAAATGCATGTTTCAGCCAGAACACAAGATTAAAAGAGATTATCTGTTGCTATTACTGCATTTCCTATCCTCTTTTTACCAGTCTTTTAAATAAAGAAAAGTCAGCTTTGCTGCGTGTCAAGAATCAAATGGCTGCAGATTTGGAGAGACTTCTAAATGACCGTGAGGTAATCTTCCTTTTTTAGCATTACTACCATAAGTGCACTTTTTTGCTACTGGGTCTTAAACCACGGAGAACAAAATGGTAAAATGGTTTACTTGGATTTGATTTGTTGGGGTTTTCTTGTCTGTCGTTATCAGCAACACAGGTGACCGTGTCTGTTGACTGCTGGGGAGGGTCTCAGTTACATTCTCTGTTGTTAAATTCTCTCTGATGGTTTATTGTCTCTGTTCTTTCATTTTTTTTTTTTTGCCTTGAACAGTGTATGGTGATTGCAAGCATTTAACAAGAATCTAGATAAACACAGTGAAATTGATACACATGTAATCTGCAAGGTCTGCTTTTGCCACAGTATACCTCAGGGATCTCTCTGTGCTCCCCAGTCCTTGCAGCCAAACACTGGACCAAACCACTGTTAAATTCATTTCCATACACTCTTTTGAATCCCTTTTCAACTCCAAATAGGGGTTAGGGAGAGGAAGCAAAACAATAGTTACACAGGTTTCCAAGAAGAGTCGAGGTACTTTTTTGTATACTTACCTGAGTTTCATCTGAGCAAGAATCAGGGTGCTACTGGACTGGATTATACTCTCAGATCTAAAAGTATGCAAAATTTTGCCCTTTAGGGAACCCTAAAGACTCTTGTCAAGATTTTTATCTGAACAATCTTAAGAGATTAATATATGGCATAGGAGAGAAAATCTGCAAATTAAATGTCTGAAACAAAGGATGAAAATAAATGAAGTTTACTGCAGGAATCTGAGAATGTGAATAATAGCACAGAATTTTCTGAAGCTAAAGAGTACTGAAGATATAAAACCAAAAGCTGACCTAAGCAACTATTAAATCTTCTCCCAGAGGTGCTGAATGATTTGGCAAGGATTTGCAGAAAAAAATACAACATTAACAAATCAGGAATGAGGAAAAACAGTGCAAATTACAGATACAGAGTGATGGGACCTCACTACCCACTTACCTGTTCAGAAAGTGGTTGTAGAGGCATAGCAATAGTTCCCTGACAACATCTTTCTTTTCTCTTACTGGTAAGAGAAAAGATGGAGAGATTCCTTTCAAAGAAGCTACAACTCCCCTAAATTATCCTGTCAGAGTTCGGATTATCACTCATTTTAAAACATTATTTTCATGGAAAACTGACTATCCAGCTCCTGAAGTTTCATTCCACCTCCAAAATTGTTTTCCTTCATCGCCTTTTCATACTATTCATCACATTCCCTTCTTAGATCAGTGAACCAAAATCCGTGTCATTAATTGGTCCAAACTAGTTTGTCTCTCCCAAGCACTTAAAAAACTCCTTTTTGTTAGAACCAAAACAAAAGAGTTGCACTGGCAGCTGAGTCCAAGTGAACCTCAACTTAAATTAAAACTACTAATTCTGTTTGCTGAGTTCCAAACCAAACTGATCTATGATTTAAACATTTCTAGATAGTTTATAAACCTTACCATTATATGCATGCTTTATCATATCCTTACATTAATGATATGAAAAATACTCAGAGGAAACATGATGTAATTGTATAAACATGTAGTGTTTTTTCCAATATTATAGGCCCTTGGCCTAATTTCAAATAATTTCTTTCAACATTTCCTGTTCCTACTCTTTCTTTCCCAACCTCTGGTGCTGCCAACTAGTTATGCTCACAGAGCAATCACACTTGGGTGCCTAGTTTTAGTAGTGTCATATCACTGAGCATGCATTGCAGCTGATTAAAAGCAGTAGAAAGTGATAAAAGAAAAATTTTTCCATGTTTTCTAAGGAAACTATAACATTTCTAACATAAAGCTATGCAACATTTTTTACATCCAAACTACATTAGCCCCTGTAAGTACCCTCATAAACTATTCCTGATATGCAGCAGTTTGCTTCTTTGTGTCATTTCACCATTCCAAACTTTAAATTCTGTCAAACAATCAAGGGAGGCTGGCAGAGGAAGGCTTGATTGGAAAAGAAAAGCAAATACTTGAGTCTGAAACAGACTTCTTCGATGTTTCTCATACCCTGAATGTTAAGAAATCGATCAAATATTTCCAAAATTAGTACTGTTTTCTGAAATTTCTTTTTACATCTGTTAAAAATAGGACATATTAGTCAAACAGTGATAATATTTTTTAAAGATACTTCTGCAGAAAAGAATATAAGTAAAAAATATGAAAAAGAAACATCAGAAGTTGCATGTTTGAGGGAAGAAAACTATGAAATGCCAGTACAACACACAAAAAAATTCTCCTGAGAAACAAAATAGTAGCTAAAAATGTTTCAGGAAAATGTTTGAAAAGAACAGGTAGCTTTTGTGTTTGTGTGTAAGTTTAACTTTTGTCAATTCTGTTTATTCCTAATGCAGCCTTTTATTTTTTACTTCTAATGCAAACTTCTTCCAGTAGTTTTACACTTCATGAATTTCTCTAAAAGGCAGTTATCTCATGTATTGAAATGGTTGTACAGGATAGTGAGTTAGTCTTTGACTATACTTCTTTGCCATCTTAATAAAAGATTTAAATTTGCAGTAACATCACAATGTTCCAGTAATTATCCTTGCTGACAGAAATAAAGAATAAAAATTTTCTCACATCAGGTTAGTAAAGGGTTAACTGCATTTAAACAGATTGCAATTTTAAATAAAACTGACAGGCAACCTGTAGATACAGATCCATACACTTTGAAAAAAAAAGATGAATTATGGGTTTATGTGTTTGGTACGTGCTATCATGTAACAGGGTTACTATCAGCCTTGTTCAGTCATTGCACATACTAAACTGTCATGTCTTGTTAGGAATTACCTTGTTGCTCTCATGTTTGCAAGTAGAAACATTAGAATTCTTGAACAGATAAACCTAAGATATTCATAGTTAAGATAAAATGAAGTTTAGGTACGTTAAAAGTAACTGCTAAAAGTACAAGCAAAATGCCAAAATTATGTTAATGCTGTCTTCCAGCAACAAGTTTCAGTAGGTGCACAGCTTTGACTTCAGGTATTCCAGCCTGTGTGGTCTCAGACTGTATTAACTCTTTTTAATGGAATGTTAGAGTTTTAGGGGTTGGAAGGTTTTTTAATTTTTATCTCTTTGTGATATCAGCTACATTCATAATGCTGCTTTGGAGACTATTATAGCATTTTATACAGTTTTTAAATAAAGAACTTACATTCATGATTAATCTTCTCTTTTCACAGATTTTAATTTTAGAAGAAGAAAGTTGAAAGTTATACTTTGAATCTTGGAAGAATTTCTGTAGGATTCTTATATGAACTCTTTTATTACAGGAAAAAATTACACTAAATGTTAATGTCATAAAATAGTTCATTATTTCAAATTATACAGACGTCTAATTTGATGATGAATCTTATATTTTGCTGTGGGACATCAAAGTGAAAAATAGTTATTTGATTATATAAAGCCTTAAAAGCTTCTGTCCACCCATGAAGGAAACAAAAGGAAGGTTGGGGTTTTATTCAGACTCTGTTCTTGGCCTAAATTCTGAATTGTTTCTTGGCCTGCTTCTTCCTTTTCTGTCTGAATTAATTAGTAAATGAATGTGGAAAACAGTTTAATCTAGTTTTTCATTTAGATCACTGAGAATCAGCTGGTAAGATAAATTTTCTTGCATTCTTCATGTCGTTAAATGCAAACTTCCCTATTAGAGGGAGTTCAATGGCATTATCATGAATGAGCAATATCTAGGATGATGTTGAGATCATGTTGGAGGTTCATAATAAACCCTTCCCAGTGGCCCTTGTCTTCTCTGAGCTCTCAGAAGGGTCTGGGTGCATGTATTCAGATGCCATTTGTACACCCCTTAGTGCAAGACAGCAAGTTAATGCAGCCAGATTTCTCAGTTGATTTTAATATATGATATTTTCTATGTTTTATCAAGGTATTATTATTTAATTGTTTTCCTAGATCCATCAGAAAACATAAAACATTGGAGGAACAATGTGGTCTCCCATTAATAATCTTCCACCAAATATTGTGGGTTTTTTTTTTTTAAAGGGATATTTCAGACCTCCAGAATATTTCTTTTGGTCATAATTATTTCTAGTGACCGTTCTCATTTTAATCAGCTGAAGCTTCACACTGTTGACACTCTCAACTCGAATAACCCAACCACACCAACACCAACTTGTAGTTTTAATTCTTCCCACTAACTAATTAACTGCGTGACCTGGCCCCATCTTTGGAACTTACTGCCCATGTGTCTTTGTATAGTCAGGGAAGAATGAGTAAGAAAGGTGTTCCTTCAAAGAATAAATCCAGGTGAAATTATACATCATGCCTGAGTTGACCCAATAACACTATAGCTATAACACTACCTTACCCCTTTGCTCCTGATTCTCCTGCTCCCTCCTCCTGTTCCACCAGCTCTGACACACTTCTAATGCTGCAGTAGGACACTACTGCAAATCACTAAAGAGATTTGCAGATTTAAAGAAAAAAAAAAACCCTACAAAGGTCTATTGCTGTCTGTTAAGTTAGAAGTTTGAATGATCTTTGGAAAAAGTCCAGCAAAGAAAAACAAACAAGCAGAAATATTTATATGTCAGTATTACTTACCTGTGATAATGAGGGCATTTTGTGTCCAAAACTGTATAGAACACCAGCTTCTGTTCCATCCTTTATTTGCATCCAAACAGTATTCCTTTGTGCATATAACGGGCATCCATAACTTAAAGGCACTGAAAATGCAGTTCTCTCTTAGGTGCTAAAGTTAAGTGGGATGAATCCACTAAATCTTTTTGTTGAAGCTCTTGATGCATGATTCCTTTTATCTAGTTTGTTGGTTTGGGGTTTTTTTCTTTCCTACAGTCAGTCTTTGACTAAAAGAAATATTTACCATGATCTGTGATCCTGGCAATTCCATTGCCTTTCATGCTTGATGCAGTTGTTAGCATTTTGTAACATCAGAAGTGCAATTCTAGACTTTATCCATGGGCTTTCAAACCTCAGATGAAAACTTGGAAGGGCAGTCTGTCAGCACTCAGATGTTTGGCAAGA